GTCGAACTCGACGGTCCAACTGTCGTGTATGAGTAATAATAAACGTTCCCACGCCACTTGCATGGCAAGGTCGGCGTGTTGAGGTCACTGAGACTGGTGGAAAGGGGGGGGGAGGAACTAGGGTAGGTTGTGAACGCTGTTCTTAGGTCGAGTAGGGGGGGGAGGGAGATGAACAGCTCTGTCCAGTACGCAAAAGGAAGAACTGTCATCATGGGGTGACGGTGGCGTTTGCTCACCACTTAAAGTCGGCGTCGGCCAGGGAAGAGAGAGCACCTGTATTAGCGTCCGCTGACAACACAGCACTGGATTCTCTAGCAGTATAGACATTGCCTCGGCTGTTGCTATCACGTGTTGGCGTAGGCCTTTAGAGAAGGCGGTTGGTTCCCGGTAGACAAACTGAAAGGTTTCTTTGAGATCGACTAGATGTACGATACTAATCACAAATACTCTCTACCCCTACTTGACCTACGAACATCGCCCACACCTTACCCAACCTCTCCCTCCCCCCCTCCCAGTGACATCAACACGCTGACCTCGTCATGCGGGCTGCGTGGGAACGATACGTATTACATTTAAAATTTTTATATGCACTGCTAACTTCTCATATTTCCATTATCCATGTACCTGTATAGGCCCGACGATGAATTACCGAAAACATATATGTTTACTGACTGGACTTTGCAAATAAAGTCATTTCACCGATCGAGCTTTCTTCTTGTTAACTAGACTTCTGAGGTGAGGAGCAGTATATTGACTGCATTACTATGATCCTTGTGGTTAGGGCTTTACGGAAATATGAATATCGAGAAAACTGAGAACGGTTCTTAATCTTCTTAGAATTTTACAAATATGTTTTTTTTCGGCTGCAAACTCCCTCGACTTTTTGAAGTTGAGGGAAGCGATGTGGCTCACAGATCAAAAAACTAAATCATGCAGCAGTTTACAGCCAATTTGTAACCTTCCACCTCGCCAGAAGAACTCTGACTCAGTCTACGGAATGTAACATGGAGATAGAGGTTGCAACTACACCTGAGACACTGATCGAATGCTGAAAAGCCAACAGCAGGAACACTGAGAGCGCCAACTTAAACCTCAAGGTGCTCACTTATACCGAAAATCGCAAAATTATGTGCTTCCTATTCTTCCCCTTTCAATTCAATTTGGCCTAAAATACGCTCGGTTGTGCTTTTCAGTGATGGCACATGCGAGATTTGAAGCGAGTACTCAAAAGGTAAAAAAGCGATAACTGGGACGCACTCACTTACTATTTGACTTTTCCAACACCTTGCTCTTCTGTCTACCTTCGGAAACTGGAAGCGCATCTCAAGTTGACTGCCTTTGCTACGAACGGTCTACTCGGTGTCTGTCTGAATCCTTGGCCGTCGGGGCTGCGCCCTTCGCGTGCCAGTGATGTAGTTGACAATATTAGTTCGACTGTGTGGCTTAGTAATTGCGCACGCAATGAGAAAGGGGTTGGTAACTTTTTCCTACTGATCTCCTACTTGTAATTGGCCTCCCAGATCCTCATCCTGGTCAGTATTTGTGAATAAAAACAATTTGGCGGTCGTCTAACTTGTTAAGGAATTTAATTCATCTCGTATTCGGTCCGTCT